AGCTTTACGCGAAATTCAAAAAAACAAACAAAACAAAACAAAAAACTGTCTAAAAAAGAAAAATCTTGAATCATATTTGATCATTACTTAACGGCTCTGCGAGTTTTTATTTTCTTTATGAACTCACAAGTATTTTATATTTTCATATTTAATTCAGGTGATTACAAGCGCATCAAATAAGCTCTTTTTGCTAAACGTGTAAACTGTCAGTAAAAAGTTTAATTGATTCTGGTAAAACCAGCATAACCAGTCACGTGAGTAATAATCTATATATTATACTTAAGCTTTAATGATGAGCTGAATTGAATACTCATTATATATTAGTTATTAACTTACTGGATCGACTTACCCGACGCACGTTGTCGTGTTTGCTTAGAGACATGGCGGATGGTTTCATATGATGATGCATCTGTATCATTTAAAGGGACTAAATTGACTTCGTCATTATTCGATCTTGAACACGAACAATCCATTTTTAATACTTAAAAATCGTACTCTCTTTCTATTTTTGTCTGATATTATGAAGTAACAATTACAAGCGTTTCTCTTTTATGCCAGCTCTTGCCAAAATGCTGAACAGTACTTGTATCTGTTTACAACGTTGGTTTGTTGAGCTCTGGTGCCAGGTGAATCACGTGTTCAACATACTTAGAGTTAGCTCATCATAGTACAGCTGTTTTGTAGTATTTTATTATTTCCAAAAAGCGGTTATATTAATATTTCTTTATGGTGTTTATTGTTATAGAAATATGTTTCTTATACTGTAAGTAGTACTTATGGTACTTTGTTGATATTTTAAAAGAATGCAGATTCTAAATTTCTAGTGCTTTTTATTTGCCTTGCTAATTTTTGTTTTTCTGAACTGATTGGGTGACATTTCTCACACTTCGAGATGCTGATTGAAGTATTGAACTCATATTAAAATAGACCATATCCTATATCTTTAGAGATAGAAACAAAACACTTCATTCAAATGTATTTGAGTTATTTCTGAGTTTGTATGCTGCTTACTTTAGAGGAGGTGGGTTTATTGCGGTTTATAATAACAATGTTTCTGGTTCGTTCTGTCCATGGAACTGCTTTCAAGTTGAATGCTATTATTACGTAGTTCACAACACTACAACATTTATTGAAATAAGCTTCTGCGAAGAATGCCAAGATAAGCCTCAGTCAATATATTTTGGAAAAACTTTCCTTTGACCCTCCATTGTTTGCAGATGACGGTTTCCAAGATCGTAATTGGAAGAAATAATTCCACTTGAACTGCATCTAGGAACTTGGTAGGTATGTGGTAAAATAGGTTTGCTGTGATTCCAATTTATTCGGCCATAAATGTCATGAAAACAGTCGTTAATTTTCAGATGTGAACTTTTGGGTTCTGAATCTTCCTCTACTTCAGGTTCTTGTTTATTATCTCGTTAACGATACGAGAAAATATGCGGAAATTCATCAGAATTGTTTTCTGAGCTTTCTTTTTGTTTGTTATACAGGTGTAATTTCCATTTTAGTTCAGCATGGCTATTGGCACTAGGTAAATGGGGTTCAGTGTTGATTTGTTACCATATTGGTGGAGTGTGTTTAGTGATTACGTGCTCAGACTGTGAATCCGAGGGTTCATGATTTACTTCACGTTGCTTCAAAAGCGCACTCCAAATTTCGAACTGTGGGGTTTGCTACAAGATTGACGTTCAAGTCCAAGTATTTGGTTATACAAGAGTAGACTAAGAGTTCGTGGGGGTACTGTTGACTATCTGCCCATCTCTAGTTTGTTAGTTCAAATTTAAGGATGGCTATGCACAAATAACATTTTACATAGCTTTGCGAAAGTTTCCATACAATATATATATATATTAAAGCATAACAAAGAAGAAAACCGTTTTCACAAACCTGGAAGTTAGGCCACTGTGGTATATAAGTGAGGCTTGAGCATTACAGACTTCTAATTTTCTTATCTTTTTCTTGTTGTTTTTTCTAGAAGTGCGAAGGCATTGATGGACACAAGAAGGATAACAAATGCAAAAGTTATCACTGGAAATCTTCATAAGAACAGCAAAGTGTCCCACGGTGGCTCAGGGGTAAGCATGAGGGGGTTATAATGCTAAAAACTGGTTTTCGATACCCGTGGGGAGAAGAGCAAAGATAGGTCATTGTGTAGCTTCGTGCTTAACAACAGATAACTCATGAAAAAGAAAGCTTTCGTTCTAAAGTTATAATAAGCCTATTCTTTATTCACAGCAAACCTTCAAGAAAAATGTACTTAACAAAATTATTGACATAGTCATTTCAACAGCTTTTACTGGCGAAACCATGGTCATGATAAATTATGTATTTGTGAAAAGTGCAATTGTCTTGTTTTTCCTCAATTTTGTAATCACGGAGTTTCACCAAGTACCGACGGTTTCAAGTGTCAATTATATATTAACAGCCTTAGATTCTTATTGTGGTATGCAGATGTATACCTTCTTTATACTTACCTTCCGTTTTATCTGCGATAACATCACTGCATCAGTATATGCAAGTTGTTCTTTTAACTTTGACTAACCTCTTCAGATGAAATTTTGAGCAGACCATTTTTTTGGACACCTAGACTGTGTTTATGTTTTAAAGTGACCTTGTAATAGTTTTTGAATGTTTTAGAAAGATGTACTATCGAAGTTTTTTATTATTGTTACAGAGAGACGTTTTTCTAAGATGTACTGTGACGGGCTGTTTTCATGTAAAAGTACATCTATCTCTTTCTGTAAATGAGATTTTAATTTTGTTGTAGAGATATATTTTTTTGTATGTTGTCTGTTATTGTTTTAGAAGTATGTTGCGTCTAAAATTCTAGATGATATTTTGCTGTTGTTGTAGAGGTACTTTTTCTGAGTTTTCCTCTTTTTTTTTTTAGTTGCACAGATCTATTGATATAGTACCTAAAATGTAACGATTAGCAAAGCGTTCCAATCATTCTACAAACATTCTACTTTATGCTGGAACATAAGGATAACAAACTATACAGTTTTTTCTTTTTACACTAAAGGTTTTTTCCCCTCATCGAGTAAATGTTTGGCATTTCTAATCTTGCAAACAATAAAAACAGATCTAGTCAGGGCCGCATTATTGGATAGGCATATAAAGCAACCATTAGGAAAGTAAAATAGTGCCTGAAATAAAGTATCAATGAATTAATTTGCCAAAACCACTGTACCATTATAATGTCATTTCGTTTCCCATGTTCCTTCTAGTACAGCGTAACTTCTACCAGTATCCAAATCGAGGTTAATTTCTTCATATTGGCTTGGTGTGTTTAGTTGGTATGGTGTTCAGACTTTGAATCTGGAAGTTTGTTGTTTGCATGGCGTTGCTTCACAAAACGCACTTCGAAATTTGAAGCCGTAGGTTTAATTTAAGTTTCATTGACAAATCTAAGCCTTTGGTCAGAAAAAAAAAGAACACTGAAAGTTTGCGATGAGCTACTGTTCACTGTCTGCCCTCTCTCTAGTCTATCAGTTCAAATTAAGGGTGGCTATTTACATATATCCTTGTGTGCAGATTTGCAAAAATTTTGAAACAAACATCTTCCATACTATAGTTGTTTTTAAAGAATAACAAAGAAGTAAAATATTTTTGAGATTTTGAAAATTAGGCCATAGGGATATACTTGACTTTTACAGATTACGTTTTTTGTTCTTGTTTTTTTATAAAAGTGCATGAAGGCATTGATAGACACAATAGGGCTTGCAATGGAAATGGGTGTGACTTTATATTTTTTAAGAACGGCAAATTGTTTGCAGTATCTCAGCGTTAAGAGGGCAGAGAACATATAGCCCATTGTATGATTGTATGCTTAACAACACAACAACAATAACAACATTTGTGTCAAAAGCAAGTTTTTATACTAAAGTTGTAAAAGGCCAATCCAAGATTCATATCAAAACTTGAAATTAAATTTCCTTATTAAAGTTATTGAGACAGTAATTTCAAGAGTTTATGGTTTAGTTTCACGTTGTGTATATGCAGGTACATATTTAGTATTTCTTACATTCTTTAGTTAGTAAGGTGAACATTTCACAAAGAATTTTCAAAAATGTTTATATATATACACGTTTTAGCCGTGTCTGTTGTATGATGTATATTCAAAGAATGTGGCTAATTTCCTTTTGTTCTATACAACTTTTACCCTGTGTTGTCACTTGTGCTTTCTCGTGGGGAAAGATTCGCACCTGGATGATATGAACCAGGAGTGTTGAGAGATTTCATAGACTCTGAGAAAGGATTGGAATGTTTCCTCTCCATTCTATCAATCAAAATCCCCACCAAACAATTTAAAGGCAAGCCGATATAGACGCTCCTACGTTGTAGTACTCTCAAATTAGGGAATGTTATTATGACACGTGGAAGTTACGATCACGCGAAATGGCAGCTGTAATGATAAGAACAATAGATGGTATAATACAGGTAAAATTGAGCGGATTACAATATTTATTTTGCAATTAAATACCATATTCAGGATGTATATGATGCTGTGATCTATTAGTATATTTTTTTTCAAAATTCATTTGCGACTGAATATATATTTAGGTTTTAAGGTTCTGTATCATTAGTCACAATCGATATTCGTATTGTCTTTGCTGATTGAGATCGCCAAGACTTTAGTCCAAAATGCGTTTATCTCCAACTATGCGTATTGTTGCCTTCATTGACTTTCAGCGTCTAAACGAAACCAGTGATTTTTAGTCTTTTTGGTATTGTATCTGTGACTCATATTGAAACTCAATATACTGAAGTCCTTCAATTCGTTTTTTAGTTGTAAACAAATACATAACATAAGCATATTGGAATACAAAGAACAATACTTAATAAGCGTACTAGACAAAAAGTACTTTATTCAGTGGTGATCATGAGGAATAGTAAAATAAAAAAATTAAAAGCCGCAGAAATAAAGTTTGCATGTTTGCATCAAAACACATTGAGAAAAAAACTACGTCAAAAAGTTATTTCTAATTAGATTGGTTGACTTGTTTTTTAAACACCGAACAACTTCAATGTGTTTGTGTTATGTTCAGTAATTACATATTCTTATGGTGTTTAGAATTGTACAATTACCACATGAGTCAAATTCAAAGCTGTAAAATACTACATTGCAGGAAGCTGCAGTATCATTTATACACAAGTGTAGTTATATTTTTTTTTTCTATTTTAATAATATATCCTATAATGTAGAATAATACAGTGTATTGAAATGTACTACAGCGTAAACAAGCAACAACGTATTTAATACTGAGATTGTAATTTAGATATCTACGTTATCTTTAACAAGTTTTAGTATACATATTTGTTCATAATGCTATGTATGCTTTCGTAGTCTGGAACAAGATACAGATACATGCATAGATGAGAAGCAAGTCGGCCAGGGTGGTTGGGTTCTGAATTTTGAAGCAAGCTGCGTTCGAATCCTTATGATGCCACAAAATATCCCTCACATTTTGAG